GTGTGTGTGTGTGTGTGTGTGTGTGTGTGTGTGTGAGAGAGAGAGAGAGAGAGAGAGAGAGAGAGAGAGAGAGAGAGACTCTCAAAAAAGAGACAAGGAGAGACACATAGACAAGGAGAAAGTGGTAGAAGTAGAAGTCAGAAGTCTAACGGAAAGAAGGCATATATCTTGCCACTTTCTCTGATGTGACACAGATGGGAAAAATCTGGGAAATATTCTGCTGGGGAGACCATTCCACCAGCTCAACACTTAGGTCATATAGTCTCTAAAGGTCAGAACCTATTCTTAGATATGCCATTCATTCATTAATTCAATAAACATTTACTGAACACCTACTATGAGAATAAACTGGTGAATAAAATGGCCATGTTCTCTGCCCTAAAGAAGCTCACAGAGTGCTATGGGGTCCGGGCCAGGAAACAGACAATAACAGTGTGATGAATGCTCTGATGAGGTATGTCCAGGGCATTAGGGGAACACACTGATGAAACGTTCCCAAATCAGTTTTGGCTTGTTAAAGAAGGTTCCTTTGGAGAAAATCATGTCACCTGAAGGAAAAGCAGAAGCCATCCTGGTGTTGGAGGGCGTGGGAGGAGAAGGAATGTTCTAGGCGAAATAGAACTATGAGTTATTTTAATTTTGTTCTTGGTGCTTAGCAGTGTTTTATGAATGTTCTTCATTGGACATATATTACATTTATATAGAAAGGATTTTAAAATATGAAGGATAATAACAGCTCTTTTTTAATCAGTGAACACCAATGAGAACTTCCTTAGGTCTGTGACACACTGACAGGAAGAGAAGGAAGCACTACAATTACTACTAATAATAACAGTAACAAAAATATCTGTTCAGTGCTTATTACGTGTTGGTATTTTCCAGGTACCTCATTTAATCTTTACAATAATCCTACGTGATAGGTACTGCTTTTTTCATCTCTGTTTTATAGATAAGGAAACTGAGGTCCAGAGGTGACACAATTAGTAAGTGGCAGAGGCAGGAATTGAATTGAGGCAGTCCAATGGCAGAACCCCAGCTCTCACTATACTACCGCTCTTTAAATGATTAAAGGGAACACAAGAGAACAACTAGAGCTTTAACTTCACCCTCTTCCAAGAAGCAGCTTCTTGCCATAAGCTGACTATGTCCCTGTCTCCTCCAAGTTGGGGGGTAAAGGGTGGGGTGCGGGGCAGGGGAGAGTCTTCGTGTGTGTGGAGAGGGAGATCATTGATTTAATAAGCACATGTAATTTTTCACATTTAAATATCTATATATTTATATTCATTTCCATCTTCTGACTTATACATTTTATTGGCTATCATTTACCAAATCTGATAGGGTCATTTCTTACACCAAGCACAAAGAGCATGGTGATTTTCGTAAGGTTGCACAATAATGTAATGGCTGAATGGGTTCCAAAAACCCACTTCAGCATCACAATTGCTGGATCCCACTTTGTTCTGGCCACACCAGCAAAGCTTGTCTTATGAGAAGCATCCAGTTTTCCCTTATATTAATGGTGCGGTTCTGTGATGCAATTTCTATGTTAACCACATGGTGATGCTGCAGACAGATCTAGAAATGTCTTGGGGAGGAGGGGTTTACGAATATTTGCACAATTAGTAGTTGATAGATAGATGGTCACGGAGATGGGAAACACGGCAAAGGGAATGTAGTTAGCACTCATGTATGTGGAGAGCCAGAGGAGGGAAAGATGGGGAGATCATTTTATGAACTATATAAATGTCTAACCAAGTACTGTATACTTGAAACTAATGAAATAAAATTTAAAAAAAAGAATATTTGTACTATTTTTATCAGCCACACAATTAAAAGTTATGCAGCCATTTAAAAGAATGAGGTAAAGCTATATGACTTTTCAAAGAACATATTCAAGATATGCCACTAAGTAAGAAAAGCAAGTCACTAAACAATATGAAGAGCATGCGCATATTTGCTCTTCATATTATTTAAAAAAAAAAGAATATAAATACATATGCAAGTACATGCATAATTATTTTAAAAAAGAATATAAATACATATGCAAGTACATGCATAATTTTTTTACCTGATAGTATGAAAAAGAGCTCATTAACAGTTATGACTCTGAGGAGTGGAACTGGGGTCCAGGGCAGGGGAAAGGGGTGTTTCCTTTTGATTTTCTATCTTTTTAAATTATTTCATTTTTAAAATGATTTGCATTCATTAATTTTAAAATCATTATTACAAAAACAATCCAACTGCTATAAAAATTTAAATACTGCAGATGTTAATAAAAGTTCCTTCTCCCCCACCTCTTAATCTCATCCCCAGCAGACAGGTAACCATGAATATGAGTTTGGGACCTTGTTATTCAGGGTGTGGTTTCCAAAACAGCAGCATCAGGATCCCCTGAAAAGTTGCTAGAAATGCAGATTTTCATGCCCTACCCCAGACTTGCTCAAATTCCATAGTGGGGCCCAGTAATCTGTGTTTTAAAAAGTCTTTTTGGTAATTTCGATGCATGCTCAAAGTTGAGAACCCTTTCGTTTAAGCAGGTTAGACTAGACCTTATTTTTTGGAGGGAGCGGGGTTGAGAAGACTCCTACTGGAGAAAACTAATAACTCTAAATGGCATGTCCTTGTTCACTCAGTGAACTCTAACTCAAGGGTAGGCAGCCCCTTGAGCCTACTGTGACCTCTATGTTGAGGTTGAGCGATGAGAATACTGTCACAGTTGGGGGGTATCACCCAGAAAAGGGTAACATGCAAGAGGGAGAAAGGAAAAAGGAGTGTAGGAGAAACTGAAAGGAGTATGAGTCAGAAAAGGAAAAGGCAGAGAGAGAATGCAGATCTGAAAAATCATAATTTGGTAAGTAGGTGACACTAATACCTCAGGGCTATTTATTCATTGATTTAATAAGCACATGTAATTTTTCACATTTAAATATCTATATATTTATATTCATTTCCATCTTCTGACTTATACATTTTATTGGCTATCATTTACCAAATCTGATAGGGTCATTTCTTACACCATTCAGTGTCTTCACAGTAGGGAAGTGTTTGCCAGTGATCTCTGCTCCTGGGCCAAAAAGTTATAAGCTCTCAAAGCTTCTCAAAAGCTTCTCATAATTTACCTATGGTGGTAGGAAGCTGGACATGTGGCGTGTGTGTGTGTGCATGTGTGTGTTTGCTGAGGAGGTTTTGCCCACTAGGGAGGTATGAAGTATGATAGGTGAGGAAGTGCACATAAAAGCACTCTGGGTGCAGCAGTATCAACAATCAAGTCAACAGATATGAAGCTCAGAAGCTCAGATCAGATGGGATCTCCTGGAGTTCCTCAAATATGGACCTAGTCCCACAGACTTGCCTCAGCTGCAGAAGAGCTTGGGGCCAGCTCCTTCAACTGGGCTGGGATAATGGAAGACAGTGCATATAAAAGGGAGTAGTTCTCACACGGTTTGGAGAAAAACATTAAATGATTGTGAGTATGGAAGCTCAGACCAAACAAAGTTTTGAGTATTTTAGCCTATTTTTACTGACAAAATACGCACCATTTACATACAGCTTCCAAAACACTGTTATGTCTCATGAAGGTGTCTGTCTCTGTCAAAGAACCAGCATTTGTTTTGTCGGGGGAAAGTTTGTGATGGAAGGATTTAGTGTATAAGGCTGCTCTGTCTCACTGTGTTCCATTTAAAAAAATTTGATGACATCTGCTATAGGTTAAGGACAGGAGTGTATTAAAAGGGACATTTGACTCATTGGGGCACTTGGTTTCTTTATATTTTAAATAAGTGAGCATTGACTCTTATAGAGTCCTAGAACTGTAAAGCTGGAGCCACCTTAGAGATCATCTCTGACCTATTAACATTGCCTTGGGTAGTTCTCAGGAAAATACAATGCGTGGGCCCCACTCCAAACAACTGAATCTGAATCTCAAGGGGTGGAACCAAAGGGACATCTCAAGTTTTACAGCCTCACAAGTGGTTCCAGCATTCAGCCAGGATTGAGAAACAAATTCCTAGGACTGCCACAGACCTATTGTTTCAGAACTCTGGGGAATGAGGTAAAGGAATCTGTATGTTATTAAAAATCCCCAGATGATTCTTTTGGAAACTAAGTTTTGAGAAGCAGTACTTTATCCCAATTTAAGATTTTTATAGTTGTTGAATGCTTTCGTTTGTTGATTTTTTAGGTTTCATCAGTTCAAGTGTTAAATATAGCAAATAGTATTTTTAGTATGAATTCATTAAAGAATATTTACATGTGTATATGCATAGAAAAAGCAACTGGAAGGAAGGATGGATGGATGGATAGATAAATGATAGAGGATAGGTAGGTAGGTAGATAGATAGATAGATAGATAGATAGATATAGATAGATAGAAGCATGCATGCATACATAATACATACATAGATTCTCTCTCTGGGTAGTAGGAATATGGATGATCTTTTTTCCCTCCTCTTTCTATTTTATCTCTATCTCATTTTGTTTCTTTCTGTATTTAAAGAAGTCTCTTCCTCTTTCTGAGTTCAATTTCCCCATCTGAAAAACAGGGTGTTGTAAGTTAATGAACTTCAAGGCCACGTCCTGCTCTGGCGGTCGGTGACTCCATACTGCCCCGCAGCTCCCCTGTCCGTTTAACAGTATGAACTGCATAGATAACAACGGTGTTTGGAGAATCATCATGTATGATTTTTGTATGCATTACGTTGTGATGCCTAGCAACCGTTTTTACTCCAGCAAAATTATACTCTTCTTCCTCAAGGAGTCGAAAGTGAAATAACCTCTACTATCTACACCCATCCCTCAAAAGTTCATCTTCTCCCTTTATCCTCGGATAAAACCGTCCGAGCATAACTCTTAGGAGCGTAAGAGTGACTGTGAACCAAAAAGCCAGGGCGTGGTCGCCCCAACCACCCGCCCCTACAATCACCACCCCTCTCGCCGCTTTGAAGCGCGAAGATTGGCTGGAGAGAAGAAAGAGCCCCGCCCCTAGTCTTATGACCCACGCTGAAGCGCCTAATCTTGGCTTTTGCAGCGCTGTGGTCGGCGGTCAGCGGCGTTCTTTCCCTTCTTCCCCGGAGCTCTTTCTGTGGTGTTGCGACTCTCGTTGCCACCGCCAACTGCTCTTTGGAATCATGGTGTGCTGCCGCCTCTCCCCAGTTCCGGGCTCGGGGCTTGTTCTGCTCTGCCTCGTCCTGGGTGAGTTGTCGGGCCCTCCTGCTCAGTCCTTCAGCCTGGGCCAGGGGCGCCCAGTTCAAAGGCCGCATCCAGCGAGACTGGTCCCAGGGGGAGGGGGTTGAGAGGCTGAACGGCTGACAGTGGGCCGCGGCGCTTGCCCCGGCTAGCGAGCAGTGACTTAGAGAAGGCCTGACCGAGAGATGGCGGGGGAAGGAGGGCCTGTGAGAGTAAGAAGGGGCAAGTAAAGGGAGGTGGACGCCAAGGGAGTACGTAGGAAAGGGCGAGGAGTGGAGCTGATCGGGGTAGGAAGAGTAACTTGGGGAACACACTAAGGAGTGAGCGTAGGAGAACAGTATGTGCATATTCTGGAGTGGCAGAGACAATTTAAGAGAGTCCTAGTTTCCTAGGATCAGGGAAGAGTTTTGAAGATGGTGGAAAAGTATGGGAGGAGACAGAAAATTGGGGAGGGAAGAGACTGTGCCTGCGGGGAGACACTTGGAGGAAGAGAAGTCAGGTATGACAGTAGAGTCTGAGGGGCAGTGAGAGGGTTGGGGGCTTTTATGGGTAGGAATTTAAGGCTGTGGAGGAAGGATGATTAAAGAGATGACGAATGATGCTGGATTTGAGTTTGCTGGTTGGAGTTTTGAGAGGGAAGGGACCCTACGGTGGCTGGGGCAATTTCCAGGAGAGAAAACTCCTGTCTAACCTCTAGAGACTAAAGGCATGAGTGGGAACTTCGGTGGGGATTGAATATCTGACTTCGAGGTGTTGAAGATACCGGTTTTCTACCAGTTTTGCTACTTCCTCTCAGCCAGAAAATCCCCAGATGTTTCATTTGGGAGGGCCTCCCAGATGCGAGATTTTAGAGGTGGTGTACCTGAATCTTGTATACTACCTCTTTGCCTTCAGACACCGTTTTCTTCTTCTATATCATACAAATGGCCTATTACCCGGTTTTCAGGGGAGGAGGTGTAGAGGGGTAGGTAACTTCCTAAGGGTTGGGTTGTTACCAGGTCCTCAGAATGGCTGGGTGAATATTGGCTGATTGTGCTGTGACACCCTCCCCCTATAAGTAGTGGGTCCCTGCCGGCTTTAATGCCTGAAAGGTGAACTTTGACCAGAATCTCTCTTCCTGACCTGATTCATCCTGTTTGTTGCTATCCACTGACTCTTGCTGTTTGTAACCTTAAAAAAGAAGAAGAAGAAGAAGAAGAGGAAGAGGAAGAGGAAGGAACAGACCCAAATGGGAGTAGAGAGGAAATAGATATATTATTAGAGGCCTGAGAAGACAGTGAGAGGTACACATCTTGTAATACACATTTCAGTAGAATAAAATCAACACCTCTGGACAGTGGATTCTCAATCAAGGGACATTTGGCAATATCTGGAGACATTTTCGGTTGTCACAACTGGGAATTGCTTTTGGTATCTAGTGGATAGAGGCCAGGGATGCTTCTAAATATCCTACAATGCACAGGACAGCTCCCCTAAACAAAGACATATCCTCCTCAAAATGTCAGTAGTGCCAAAATTGAGATATCTTGCTCCAGAGCCACAGCATTGGAAGGATTCTTGATTATCTAATCTAGTGATTCTCAAGGATCTTTGCTGGGTGTCTTGTCAGATCAAAACTATTTCCAGAAAAATACTAAGTTATTTGTCTTTCTCACTTTCGTTCTCTCACCAGTGTACAGTGGAGTTTTCCAGAAACTATATAATAAGTGATGACATCACCACTCTCTTGACTTTGAAGTATTTTATTCGCTTCTTGGTTTTAACTTCAAATACCAATAGATATATCTCATATAAGCCAAAGCTCTTTGAAGTCCTCAGTGGATAAGAGAGTAAAGGGGATCCTGACACTGAAACATTTGCAAATCCCTGATCTAGTCCAGCTGTCTACATAGTGCAGGAAACTTCTGTATCCCTTCTGAAAGAGGGTGATGGAGGATTTGCTCAAGCACAAGACAAAGCTTTAACATACTGTGAAGCACTTACTGAGGGCCAAGTGACCCTGAGAGAGCTCATTTACTAGAAAAGCACCTTATCGGTGACTAGAACACATCTGACCAAAGCATTTGTTAACCGTAATTGAAAGCATTTGTTAACTGCCAATTGAATATGCACAAACACAACACTTATTATTTAGAGAAAGTGAACAAAATAATAGTTGTTTTACTTGTTGGCTTTCATGTCATTAAGTTTTGTTTGTTTGTTTTTTAATGAAAGCTTTTTGTTTTGTTTTGTTTTTACGAAAGCAATGCTTCCTTATTGCAGAAAATAAATAGGCAAAAAGAAGCACATAAAAGAACCCATTGGCTCATCTGCCAGTTTGTCATTTATTGATTAGGACTAACTAGATTCATCCTCTTGGAAGATTTCCAAGATCGATTCCCTCACTTCCAAGTACAGAGCAGGATTTGGAGGAGTAAAAGTTAATAATATACTCAGATCAGAATTTTAAAAGGTACCAACCGGGATGAACTAGAAACTATGTCTCCTACACAGTTGCTTTATCTGAGAGCTGTTGGTTCAGTGTGGCATTCAAACTCCTTCCATGTGGTTTTATCTCGAGAATTTAGTAGGTCTTAAGTTGCTTGGTGCATTTTGCATGTTGCTCTTATATATTAAAATGCCTATCAAGAATAGGTTTTTGAAGACTCACTAAATATTTGTAAAGTACCTGTTATGAATCTCATGCTGTTCCTGGGTACTGCAGAAAATACCAATGAAGGAGGATCTGTCCTGAATTTATAGTCTCATAACATTAATGCTCTAGCTATGCCACTTTCACTTCATGACTTTATAACTCTATCCCAGCTCCACCAGTAACTTTACTTTTTAAAAATAGCTGCTTTAGAGTAAGTATAGAGAAGAATTCTTAGAATCTATATATTGGTCTTTTTCACAGAGATTAAATTATGCTGATATTTATTCAAATGAATTGTAACTGACTAGAGAACTTTCTGGAGAAGAGCTATATAGAGGCATTATAAAGATTAAGAGAGTAGTGGATGAAAATCCTTTCCTAGCATCATTGCTTAATTGTGTTCTCTTTGTGTGACATAGATTCCAGAATTCTGCAGTTATGGATTCTTATAATGAGTGATTTTCATTTTTTATGGGGTTGAGACTTTCTGGGTGGGGAAAAATCTCAAAATATCCTGAGTGTGTGCTTCACTGGTTGGAGCCCCTCCCTCTCACAAATGTTTATCGCATGCCTGTACCAGGTGAAAGGGATAGACAGAGCAATGGTAAAGACAGATGAGGTCCCTGCATTCATGGAGTTTACATTTTAATGGTGGAAGACAGCCCAACAGGTAAATAATATAATTTCAGATAGTGATAAGCACTATGAAGAAAATGCAGGAGGTAATTTGGAAGAAGAATGAGCAGATAATAAGAGTGGGTGACGGGATTAGAAGGCCTTCCATTGTTGTGTGACATTTAAGCAGAAACCCGAGTGTTAGAAGGAAGTCAGCCAGGGGAGCATCTGGAAGAATAGGAGTAAATCTTGTCTTTCCCAAACCCTTAGGTTATTAGGCTAGCCTATTTTCTACTCTTTTTTTTTTTTCTTCCAGTACCAGTCAAGTCTCCCCTATGGTATTAGTTTCTGAGAACGGAGACTTTCTTATGTGCTGTTATTTTCCTCTGCCTGCCTCACCCAGAGCCAGGTACATGGTTAACCCTCCATAAATTTTTGTTGAGGGTATTCATTCATTGATGGGCACTGAGAATATGATGGTGAACTAGACCAACTTGTTCTCCTTATTCTTTTTGAACCGTTAATTATGTTTCGCAAGAAGTTTTTTTAGTCTTTGGGCTGAGAATCTCAAGATCAGTGCTAAGCAGTCTATATAATTATAAACCAATTTACTAAAGTATAATCCCAGATAATAATACTAGTATCTTATCGGTCCCCCTTCAGATTTACCTACATAGTAGTGAAGGTTAACACTGAGAACTAGGAAGTCCTTGTTGAGAAAGAGAATAAGATTTTCCCAAAGAACCAATCTCTCTCCTTTTGGAAGTGATCTAAAAGAGAATGTAAGCATTGAGATTTTTCCACATATGGTTAAACTGATAACTTTGATTTCAAGGTTCTGCTAAAATTATTCTGGCCGTAATAGAGCTACTTGAAAGGACAGGCTTAATATTTGTCCATTAGTCATTGGTTATCACATCTGATAGGATTATAGATATTCAAATATTTCCATTAGTGCAGGTTTCTTTCTCTGTCTTTGGGTGGAATTTGTGATCAAGGATTATTTTCACAGCACTGTGGCTGACTTAAGTGATCCGTTAGTGCAGGAAGGCTGCTCCTTCCTCCTGTAGTGAGAAGAGCATTCTCATCATCATTTCATATTAAAGTGATCAGAGATCTCCTCCAATCCAAAAGTATACTTTATCAGTATTTATTGGTATCCTGCTGTGCATTGCAGAAGTTCTGGAGGTCTGCCAAATACCACTCAGCAATAAGCACTTTCCATTAGTTGAATAGTGTTGAATCTTATTTCTTTACCTGCTCTCTGACCTCAAAAAATTAAATTATCTTGTAGCTTACATTTATATTATTATTTTTCCTTTTTAAGAGATTTACCAAAAATCAAGAGTATCAGCAACTGAATGTGATGATTGTGCCTATATTAGGAATTGTGAGGAACTGTTGATCTGACTTAACAAACCTATGAATAGAAAAGAAAGTAAATAGGTATTGTATGCCTGTATCCTGTTTTTTTAAGGATGCTTTGCTCAGCATCATTCTGAATTGATGAGTTTGAGGACGAGTCCATACATTAATATGATTAAAGTAAAAATATACCTAACAGTTGGGAAGGCTCTCTTTAGGTGCTGTGTTTACTAGAAGGGAGGCTTGTAAACTGGAATCTCTAATTTGCTTGGCAAAGTTCTCTTAGCTCTGAAGAGTTTACATGCTTTTGAAGAACCTGTTAGAGAAATATTCACACTATAATTCTTTGCAAGGTTAACTTGCCCAGTCTCACAGCTAGTAAATTGGATGGCCTGATTTGAATTCTAGCTCTTCAATTCCAGGGATGGTGTTCTTAATCACCTCATAATATTGCCTCTTATATCATTGTTTGTTTGTTTTTTTCTTGGTTTTGTTTTACCACCATTATCATGTCTCCACCCCACCCCCATCTTGTTTATAAATGTTTATTTTTCAGCTACATTGGGTCAAATAGACTGGTAAAACCTAATCATTTTTTTTTTGCAGTATCTTATGCTTGGAGAAATAAGTTCTGAGTTCTAAAATAACCTATAAATGAGTTCTTTGGAAACAAGATTGAGAGGATATTTGAATTTGAGAAAGTTGATTTTGAGGCATGCCTTTTTCTTTTCTTTGGGGAATGAACTCTCAGCTCTATAATTACATACTCTAGGTTATGTTCAACTGTGTTTTTTTAATGTCAAAAGCCTTTAAACAAAAATGGTTTGACTGTTCTAAAATCAAACACAGAAATAAAGATGGAAATGGCTTGCTGGAGATTTTTTACCAAAGAGTAAATGTTTCAACTATAAACTTATGAGAAAAGCATTATTCCTAGCATGGAATTCATGTAAAAACTTGTAGAGAAAACTGTCATGGGGGTCGAAGGAGTCTCTAGAAGACGAATAGGTTGAGTTCACAATTTGGAAGAGCTAAAAGATTGGCCTTCGTGTAATTAGATCAAGCTATATTTCAGGTTCTTATTACAGGATATTTTTACCTTGACATAATCAATCTGTATTTACTGAGAATCTAATATGTATTTGGCACTACTAAGAATGATAAGAGATAGAGGAAACATAATAGACATAGTCTCCCCTACCATGACACCCATGATGGATGGCATTCATATAAAAGACACAGTCATAGGGGCTGTGGCACAAATAAGATCATCTGTTTAAGGGAGCATATTAGAATTCAAATGAGAGGCAAAGATGTTATCAAAAGGGAATCTTGAATCTATCTATCTATCTATCTATCTATCTATATATATATATATATATCATTCATTCACAGACTAGTACTTTTTTTGTTAGTTAATAAATTATTTGCTGTATGCTATAATTTACCATGGCACATCAGTTCGTTGTGAAGTGACAGTTGAAGATTGCTGTTGTGGAGCTTACGACAATAGGGAGGTAGTTTTGCAGGCATAAAATAAATGAATAATTCAGGATAGTATAACAGACTGAAGTATGGGCGTATGCATCATGACTACTCCTCGAGGGCTTTTTTAATCAAGGAATTCTTTGTGGAGAAAATGGCTGCTGAGAAATGGATAGCGTATTAGTCCAGGTTCTCAATGGTAAACAACACAAATAAAATCCGATTGATTTTAAGCAGAAAAGGAATTCATTAAAAAGATACCAGGGTGTATGCATACTCTTCGACCTCACATTTTCATTCCTGGACCCAACAGGTGCAGATATACATGTGTTCACCAAATGTCCATCAACAGTAGCACAGATGTATAGTGGAGTAGTCACCCAATAATGGAAAGCTATACAATTGAGAATGGACAGACTGCAGTTATACACAACTGCAGTTATACCAAAGTGAGTTTAACAAACATGATATGGAGTGATAGAAACCAGACATAAAAGAGAGCACAGTGAATGATTCCATTTATATCAAGTTGACAACAGGCAAAACTAACCTATCCTATTAGCAGTCAGGATGGTGGATAATGGTTGCTCTTGGGAGGGAAGTAGTAACGGAAAGGGGGAACCAGGGAGGCTTTGGAAGTACTTGGAATGTTTTGTTTCTTAACACAAGCAGGTTCAGTTTGTGAATATTATTTTAGCTGTATACTTAATGTTATGTGCACTTTTCCCTTCTATACGTTATTCTGTGCACTTTTTTATATGCATGTTGCACATCAGTAAAATTTTACATTATAAAATGTGTATATTAGGTAACTCAGAATTACTGGCAGTCCTAGCTATATATCCCAAAGCCTGGTTCAGTACCCCAAATCATGCTGCTGAGCTGTACTTCCACTGCCAAGCATTAAATTGCAGCTTGTACTCACTGGCCACTGCGACTACCAGCTCTGCCCGTCTTGTTCCTTGGGAGCTTGATCCTGCTATAGGTACTTTGACCTGAGGGTGATAGTTCCATTCCTGACTCCATTCTGCAGCCCTGCCTATTCAAAATCCGTTGTGGATGCCTTTGTTAGATGAAGCCTAGCACCGTGGAGTCTGGGAAAGCAAATAGCTAACATTTTCAGCTTTTATAATGGACAGTGATATCTGTCAGGAAAAAAAAAAGATAGGGGAGCGTTGTTTTAGAATGAAATCCTTCTTGAGGTGGACATTTAGGTCAGTAGAAGAAAGAAAATCTCAAATATTAGGTTCAATAGAAGCCTCCGGGCAGAGGTTGAATGTAGCATGTCATTTGGATCCAGTGGAACAGGTTTAACCATATCAAAGGATGTGTTCTGGGAAAATGGTTTGAGAGACGTTGAAGGAATAGAGTGGGAAAGATTAAGAATCACTTTGAAAGCCAGGCAGAGGAATTTAAATTTAATGTTGGAATTTTGGAGCCAGTATAAGTTTTTGAACAAAAACGTGTCCTGAGAGGAAGAGGTATTTAAGGATCATTAATCTGGCAGCACTTCTAGAAGCAGCTAGGAGTACTCTGTAGTAATTTAGGGGTAGGATGGTGGATTGGGAGTAGAAATAAAAGGCAAAGATTGGACTTAAGAGAGAATTTGAAGGAAAAAAAATTCAGTAAGACTTCATGAAGAGAATGAAGTTGAAGCTAATTCTCAAACTTTTGAGCCTGGGTGACTGTATGTGGTGCTGCCTTTCATTCAGAGCTAGAGAGGCCGAGAAGGAGACCAGTCTGGAGGAAATAGAAGAATGAATTTTAGTTTTGGAATCGTTGAGTTTGAGGCGATAGGTCTTCGAGTAAAAGGAGTCCCTTTGTAGTTGGAGATGTAGACCAGAAAGCGAAGTAAGCTTTGGAAGGAATAGCTCTCACAGAGAAAGAAGCTGTGAAGGGACTGGAACAGAATGTGCTGGAGCCCTCAGGGCATTTCTCAGATCTCATAAGTTGGCAAGTAGACTGTCTTGAATTTAATGTCGTAGTAAAGTTGAACCACAACCTGTACCTTCTGCTTCATAAAGCTTCACTTCTCCCACGTTGGCCCACATTGAAACTATTGTTATTTTATGCTGTTTTCTTTCCGTTACTCTAATATCTTTGGAAAGTACATGATTAATACATATCAGGCTTCTCTTGGTTATTTCAATAATTTTGAATGATTTGAATACAAGGAGAATATATTAAAACTAGGGACTTTAAACAAGGCCGAGAGAGACAGCATATAAATAGCAGGCCTCTAGTTGATTAGAAAAATTATAAGCTGGCGTTCTCAGCACCACTGCAGGGCAGCCTTGTATCAGTGATGACACCTTCCATATTGTACTTAGAAAAGAATGGCTCTAAAATCTACTTAGGCCTCACAAGGTCTTTTCGAGCCTTAGCCAATACATTTGGTCACTGTCAATAACCACAAGCTTTAGCATAATATTCAGGCTTGGCAAGGCAGCCCAGACTCCAGAGCCTGACGATAGGCTTTTGTGTACAGCCCGTAAGCTGTTGCTGAGGCACGCCTTCTTGGTATTACTCTCAGGACTTTATTCTGTATAGTTTGTAGCATGTCCCTACTTGTAGATGATGCTGGATTGTTCAGATGTCATTAAAGGATCTACAGCTGTCTTAACAGGAAGCAGCTTACCCCTTGGGTAATGTGTGACAGTGAAGAAAATCCTTAGATGGTTGCCCATCATTTTTGCTGCTGGCATGTTTGCTGGCATATAGTATTTTGAGTCCTTGGGCTCTTCAGTGTAATCGGTAATGTCTTCCATAGAAGATCTGAGTCAAGTTAGCTGAAAAGTCACAAGGCTTTTTTGTGTCTCAGGTTTTTCTCCCCAAAGAGATAGCAGGTTGAAAACACAGGAAGTGACTTTGAGTCTATGTCAAAGAATCTATCAGCCTTTCTAATCAATTGGATTTTAAAATGAAACAAAGCGATGAACCAATATTACATTTATAAAAATTAATCTTTTGTTTATGTATCTAACAACCTTTGCAGTTCTGCTCCCTTGGTCACATGGTATACATGCTTAGAAAGAGCTATACCACCTCTTCAAATCAGAAGAAAGTAGTTTGCCAAGACATCTCTGTGTTATAGGTCATGTAGTTTGTGATAGGACATCAGGTCTGTTCGTCATTTTTGCAGAGAAAGTTCCAAGAGCTGGTTTGAGAGGAGCAGGAGTTTAACACCCCTTCCTAGCTTCCCTTTACCTCATTTACCTTAAAAGACAAAAGTCCTAACAGGCAAACCATAATTGCCTAAAGCAAAACTATCAAGGCACAGATGAATGTGGAAATTATTATTAGGAGGCAAAAGGGAAAAGTCACCAGTCTGTGTCATGACCGAAACATCCTAGGTCGAGTAACTATTCTTTTGGGAAGGGATAATGCTAACTTTATTAATAGGATTCCACTAAAAATACAGAGAAAAACAATCACCAAGATACGATATCTATTAAAAATACTTTGTTTTGTTTTTAGAGCTGGCTGAACTTTGGTAGTGGATAGAGCTTGTTTTTATTTTATATATACTTTTGTAGTATGATTTTAAAATCTTATTCTTTTTAATCTAGGAGCTGTCTCATGTTATTCATTAGAACTTAATTTGACAGATTCAGAAAAGAACATTTGCCTTTATGCAAAATGGCAGATGAAATTCAGAATACGCTATGAGACTACAAGCAAAAATTATGTAAGTATTTTTATTTTTCTTTGAGTTTTATAGCAGGAATTTAATTCTACTCTTTTTTATCCTTTACATATATTTATACAAATAAGATTTCATATATTAACCGACTTAACACTTAAATTCTGTGGGCTTTTTTAAACATGTATACTTGAAGGTATTCTGATTAGTGTTGTAAAGAATGTTTTAACTCATTGGTTCTTTGGAGTTTTTCTTGGAGTTGCTTAAGGGCAAATGATCTGAAGACTATATGGTGTTCAGGTCTGACTACGTACTGTAATGTTTTTAACATGTACTAACATCAAAGCTTGCCCCTTTTTAGATAGTTTGCTATTAAAATATTTTTGGCAATATCCTCTCAATCCCTTTGCCTATTTTCTTTTAGTTAAGATCCTGCCCGCTTACAACCTGACTTCTTTACAAATCAACCTAAGAACAATTCAGGCCAGTGTTCCTTTTCCTTTTAGACATAGTACATGAATTTGTCCAAAGGACTGGTGTGTAGCTGAAGAATATGAGACTGTTTTACACAGCAAACCAGGCAAAGGGCTCCCTAGCCATGGAGGATGTGTGATGTAGATTGAAGTGGCATACCTTTCAAAAATGCTTGGTGCTCATTATTGCCTATTTGTTCCTTACCCCTAAACTTCCTTTTCTTTTCTTTCAACTTCATCTCTTTTATTATTAATTTATTTATATTATTACATTTATTGGGGTAACATTGGTTAATAACATTATATAATTTTCAGGTGTACAAGATTATCATATGATACCTGTATACTCTATTGTGTACCCACCACCCGAAGTCTAGTTCCTTTTACCATATATTTGACCACCTTTACCCACTTTGCCCTCCCTCCACCCTCTTTCCCCTCTGGTAACAACTATTCTGTTGTCTGTATCTATGAGCTTGTTTTTGTTTCATTAGTTTGTTATCTTTTGTTTTATATTCCCTATATGAGTGAAATCTTACAGTTTTTATCCTTTCCATCTCGCTTATTTCACTCAGCATCATAGTCTCAAGATTCATCCATATTGTCACATATGGCAATATTTCATCTTTTTTATGGCTAAATAGTATTCCAGTCACATCTTCTTTATCTAATCATCTGCAAACCAACCTCCTTTTTCTTTTAGAAATTTGTAACCATATCAGACCTTTCCAATGCAACATACAATGGAAGCATCTGTGGGGATGACCAGAATGGACCCAAAATTGCGGTGCAATTTGGATCTGTTTTTTCCTGGGTTGTGAATTTTACGAAGGAAGTGTCTACTTATTCAATTGACATCATCTCATTTTCCTACGACACTAGTGATAACACAACATTTCCCGATGCTAAAGAGAAAGGTAAACTTAAGAAATTGGATTTGTGTTAGGTTCTCTTGTTCTTTATTAATAATCAAAAATGTAAATAATTTAAAAATCATCCTTATGTGTGTCTGCCTTCCTAATTAGAATGGAAACTTCATGTCTATCATCTTCCATCCCATGTACAACACAGTGTTCAACACAGGGATGATATTTGCTGTCATTGTGTGAGTGTTTTACTTTGTTCCAGGTAGTACCCAAAGTGTATTACCAGCAGCATCTCACATAATCCTTACCAGTAAGCCTGGGAAGTAGATATTATCCCAACTTTACAGGTAAAAGGAATGAGATTTGATGAAATTAAATGACTTTCCCAAAGGTCACAGAAGTTAGTAAGTGGGTGAGATGGCCTTTGAGCTACTGAGTTCATGTACTTAACTAGTATTTCATTCAATAGTAGGCACTCAGCAAATGTTGAATCACTGAGCAAATTCTTCACTAATAATTATTTTATTTTTAATAATTATTTTAAATGTATACAAGTTCAGTAACCTAAGACCAGCAGAAATGTTTCATTTCAAATCATTTTACTATTCAGATAGGATTTTGACTGAAAAGTAAAAGACAAAGGTAAAATGACTGAAGTCAACATTGCTGCTATTTTGAGAAATTTCAGGTCCAAATGAACTCAGGAAAGCATTGGCAGTTAGGTAACCCTTGTAACTACTACAACTGAAATGTGTATTAAAATATTTTGAAGGCATGAATAATGCAGATTTCTATTTCGTTAGGGATATAATTCTCTCCTTTCTGCCCCCTTCATTGATATTGAGTTAACATGGTGTTTGTAGTAGCTTAGCATTTCTCACCGATAGTATTTCATTCTGACCCCAGAGACAGATAGATGGGCTTCAGTTGCCTAGACCTGGGGATAAAGGACTCATTTGGATATATAGATATCAAAAAGGTTATATTTTAAAGACCCAAAAGTAAATAAGCTCATATAAAACTTGGGAGATATCGCAGACTGAGACTTGGAAACCAAATCCTAGTTTTCTTTTTACTAATCTCTTAGTTTGAGAGGATAACTAAAGCAGGTTTGTTATGGGATAGCTTAGTTATTTAGCTTTGTGCCCCACACTGTCTTTCAGAACTAGTATAAGATTTGCCTCTCACTTTCAAGGAGCTTAAAAACTAGTTAGAGAGACAGTGAAATTGTTTTCCCACATTATACGGAAAAATTAGAAAGCATTGAGATCCGTGTGAATTTGTTATTGTTGATGTTTGGCAGGTGGAGGGTTCATAAACATTTTTCTGACAATGTGAGAGAAGCTCTAGACCCTCTCTCTCAAACTATAGCGTGACCTTTGCATATGGTACATAGTCCCTGAACCCATCTGTGCATGCCGGTGGATAAGAGGCCAGATTTAAAGTGTTCTCACAGGGGTCCTGATTAGGGGCAGAGAAAAGAGAGGTAAGGGTGCATTGGAGTGAGAAAGGTGAGGAGAGCCTGAGCTGAAACTCAGCTAATGGTAGAATTAGAGGAAGCAGAGAATTTTGAACAGAGTATTTCCAGCAAGGGAAAGCATAGTATGTGCAGCAGTAATTGGAGAGCTGCCTGATTAAAATAGAGGCTGTGTGTGTAGCAGAAGGAAAATCAGGTTGGCTAGGCAGCAGCGGGTCTAAATTATAGGGGGCCTTGGAAACCGAAGAAAGGCATTTAGCTTTATGGGGTAGGCACTGGGGAACCATTTTAGGTTTTTAAGCAGGAGAATGATATAACAAAAGCAGAGACAGTAGTTTATAAAGAATGTTCTGCAGGATTAATTTGGAAGTGAGGAGACTGCAGGCAGAGAGGCCAGTTTAAGAGAGGCTGTTATAGTAATTACAGGATGATGTAATAAATGCCTAGACCAGTGGATAGCAAGAAAAGGAGGTGGGGTTTAATCCGACAGATTTGATGGAAAAACTGTGGACCGTAAAATGTTAACACCTTTCGCTCCTCCCTTTTATTTTAAACAAGAAAGAGTGCAATTTTTTATTACTAGATTCTGTGTAATATTTGAAACTATTTTTGAAATTTAAAGGGCTTCCTTAAAAGGACTGCTGATGATGTTTTTAGAAATAATTTAGTGTTTTCTTTTTAGGTATCTGATAATCGAAGCGACTTTGAAACTGCAGTTTTCTTTTTTTTAAAAAAAAATCATGATTAAAATACAGAAAAGTACAGAGAATAGCAGACCAATTGTATTAATTACCCAGAATTAGTAAATGCCATTTTCATCATATTTGCCTCATCTTTTCATTTAAAGAAATAAAACCATATAGATACACTTAAGGTTTCCTTTGTACCCCCTCCTCAGAGCCATTTTCCTTCCTGCTTCCTGAATGGCAACCACTCTCATGAATTTGGGAGGTAGCCTTCCTGTCTATGTATTTGTATTTGACTAATACATATGTTCATAAACAATACACAATTTAAAATGGTATAGCTTTATAGTGCACCTCCAATATATCTACAATCTGTTTTTTCACTCATTTGTTTTTAGGTCTATCTATATATAGTGAGTTCATGTACCTGTTCACTTAACAATGAGAAACAGTTGTGAAGAAAAATATTCTATTCATTGGTTAAAAAAAATTTCCTTTGGCCGTTAGGGGGTGCCAAGGCAGTATTAATTGGCTTTCTTGCTACATGGTGGAGAGGCACAGGAGGCAGCCTATGTTAAGGGTCTTGAATACCTTCTTCCTTTGCTGCTTCTCCAAAAGAAACTAAGCCATTTGAGTGGATAAGTGTGATCACAGTCTTTTGAAGTTTTACTACAGGGACTATAATAAAAACTGTACAAAAGGGCTATAACTTTTGCTTTCATATGCTGAAGGTTTCATGAAATGGAAAAGTCTTTAAATTCTATCTAGGAAGAGGTTCCAAAAGCTCCTTTTAGTTACTATAACTTACTTTGGATAGTAGCACAAAAATAATTTACTATAAAATTTGTGATTAATCCATTTCTCTTCCTTTTTTCATCACTAAGTCCTGCTGATTCTACCTCAGATAGGTGTTTTCGATTTGGCCTCTTTGCTCTTTTCCTACTGCCCCTCACCATCTTAGTTTAAGCAACCCCCTCCTTGCTTTTCACCTTAACCAGGTCATCACAGTTGTAACCGTTTTTTCTCTTAAATGACTTTCCTTAAAAGTTTCCTCCCTTGCCTATCCTCTACAGTTTTTCTATCTTCCTTAAAATAAATTATGTGCATGTTATTTCCAGCTTTAAAAACTGAAGCTGGCCTTCCATTGCTAAGAAAATAAAGCCCAACGAATCCGTCCTTAGATCACATAAGATGCTTCAAAGTATGACCAGCTGCAGCTTGTCTTCTCTTCCTAACCCCCATCATGTCTTTCCTCTTAAGCAGTATATTTCAGCCCCAGTAAATCTGCCATTCCCTGAATATGCCATGTCCTTTGTCACTTTGGGGATGGAGTAGGGCAGGCAGACAGAAGAGAAGAAAGTCTAATATATATTTATATTATCACTTTTTTCCTACCTTCTCGAAAACAGCTGTTGTTAATCTTGTTTTACAGGAATTTTTACTGTTTACAACCCTGTGGCGTTCGGAATTCCGTTGAATGACATCTTTAGATGCAATAGTGTATCAACTTTAGAAAAGAATGATGTAGTTCAGCACTACTGGGATGTTCATGTACAAGCTTTTGTCCAAAATGGCACAACGAGCACAAAAGGTGACTACTTAGAGTATATATTTCTATACTTGAGTCTTAATTTAAGATTAGAGTATACCAGGTAGCTTTAGTTGAAGTCATTACCTGCAAGCATTTATGTATTAAGACTTACAATTTACACTGGACTGCAAAGTTTTATGCATAATAACAATTCTTATTCTTGTGGAACTTGCAATTTTAGGTTTATGTTGTACATGTTGTCAAATAGTCTTTTAAAATGCTCTACCCATAGTGTTTTTAGCTGATAAAACCTAGTCTTTATTTGAACAGATCCTCAAATAATATTTGATCTACAGCTCTTTAGCTTTTGATGATCTGAGACAAAAGCATAGAAATTAGATTTCTGGGTTCTAATCTTGAATTTTATAAATTGGTTTTGTAACTTTTCTACGACTTTATAGAAATGTAGTAATTTCTCATTCATCAGTTCTGGGAAACTACCAACAATTACTAAAAAGAGATTGAAATGCCAGTGATATGCTGTAGGGGGTAACACAAATAAAAAGTTTATTTGCATTTAAATCCTTAAATGATTTTTAAACTTTTTTTCTGGTATACACTATCCTTTCTTAGAGTGGTTGTTAAGTGGGAGAGAAGAGGGCAGGCCTAGGTTGGGGCAAAATGTTTGCAAATTTAAATATCTGATTTTCACATCAAAGGCAGGTGAGGTTCTTTGGGAATAAAGGGACTTAAGGGTCTGAAAAGATAGACGTGTGGCCACGTGTGAGTGGATAAAGCATTTGGATGTATCTGGAATCTGTCTGCTGTCTCATAACTTAGAGATAGTCTGCATATGAAGCAGCAGTTTGAGAACTCTGCCTCATTTAATTTAAAATATACTATCAAGGTATGTCCTTCCCCTAATATGATCCTTTTGGACTTTTATTGTGAGAAATATTTTGCTCTTCCCTGACCTTATGAATTAAGAAAAAGTCTGGTTTATTTTGTCCTTCGTTTTAGAGTTTCTGTGTGACCAAGATAAAACTTCAACCACAGCAGCGACCACTACTCACACCACTGTACCATCTACTACAATGCCTACTCCAAAGGAAAAACCAGAGGTTGGATCCTATTTGGTTAATAATGGCAATGGGACTTGTCTTCTGGCTACCATGGGGCTGCAGCTGAACATCACTCAAGAAAAGGTATAGTTGTCTATTTTTATGGATATTTTCTATTCTGATCTCCTTTCAAGTAGTGTATCCTACATTCAGCCCAAGAGTACTGTTACTAGAATGATGTTATTTTAAATGGAGATTTGATGTTGTCAAATATGTGGTGACGGAAGGAAATCTAACTTGGGTGGTGAACACACAATACAATGTACAGGTGATGTACTATAGAACTGTATACTCGAAACCTATATAATTTTAGTCACCCCAATACATTTCACAAAAAAATAAATAAATGGAAATTTGATGTTGACTTATTGAGTTTTGGTTAGTCTGGAGTTATTGTAACTGTGAAGAGTTAATGTTGCTGTCAAGGTGTTATCTTGGCCAGCAGGTAACCTAGCAGTTTAAAAGGACTCTGGTTTTCCTTTCCATTTGCCATCGGTAGATCAAAGTATAAGCGGTTGATTGTCATTTCAGTCGGTTTAATAAAACCCCTTCACTTTTATCTGAAACAAACTCTAGGTTGATCTATGGGAACAGTGCAGCTATCTCTTTCTCCAGCTCTTCGATGACTCAAATCATATAGATAGGCTCAAGGTACAGGATGGCACTTCTAGTTGCAGTGTTCCACTGAGGCTACAGAGGGCATGCCAGTGAACAAATCCCATTTCCACAGACCCATGACTTAAACAGCTAGACAGATGGCTCATATGCTCCATAAAATATATGTATTTTCATTTGGCTCATTACTGAAGAAGCTTCCCTCTTGTTTTTCTTTTTTTAAGTCATCTGACTCATAGCTTTAGGGCCTGTACCAACTTTGAAAGTAAGACACCATAAACTTAAGTATCTAGACAAAAGGATTTTTTTGTTCTCCACTGAGGTTGGTCTTATTAGAGTATAAGGTTTTGCTGTAGACATTTATGGTTAATCTGTACCTTTCCCCCATCTTCTCCTGAAGGTTGTTTCAGTTATTAACATCAAACCCAATACAACTGACTTCACTGGGAGCTGCCATCCTCAAACTGCTCTACTTAGGCTGAACAGTAGCAACATTAAGTATCTTGACTTCGTCTTTATGGTGAGTAATAGATTTTTCTAAAATTAGGTTCATTCTCAGAAATTGGGTTCATTCTCTATATGAAAGTCTAGGGTGGTGTGTGTGTGTGTATGTGTTGGGGATGGATATTTATCTCTATTTCCATTTCAACACTGTTTAATTATAGAATATAGTCCATAGCCTTATAAAACCCTCAGGGTCACCTCAGTGGTCTGTGGGCTGGACTCTTACATTAATGTTCGCCAAAAGTGACTATTCCGCTGTTATATAGACCCTAGAGTAGGAGCGAAAATTAACTCACATCAAAAAAACCTGTCTAACCTATCCATATATATAAAATATATGTATAAAAGATAAAAAGTAATTTCCATAATATTTTTCTCTATTATTGGTTAGAAAACTCATGGTTGTCGACTATAATATTTTAGGCTCTTTGGAGGCTATACTATTGGTAATGGTATCCATAATAATAGTTAATATTTATTGAGTACTTATATGTGCAAGACTCTGTGTAAGTACTTTACATGCATTAATTCATTAAATCAGGACAGCTTATAATGTCAGCATTCAGATTTTTGTTCTTCATGCTTGTATCAAAGGCTATACCTTAAACAGAAAGTTCTAGGTTAAGCATACATTCCCTACTCCTTGCTAGCATCAATTAATCATTAGGGACCTTTATTTTCACCCTCTCAGAAGCAGTTATTATCCCCACAATTTTTAGCAAATGGGAATGGAAAAGAGGAGATAGCTATCAGTGGAAGGAACTGTTGGACCACCAACAGTTTTCAAACTGAGAGTTATTGTATAAGTGAATAAAAAACAGTTCAGCTTTTAAATCAGATTATTGTATCTCAGGGTGGGGAAATAGTCTCAACATCTGATATATAAATTAGGTCTGCTGTTATTTGTTTCATATCTGAACTTGGTTTTTTGAGTCTAAAGCCTTTTTTCTGTATGGATATGTGCCGAATAACTGAGGATTATATTAGACAAATATATTTTAGAAAAGTTTACAAAAATCTTCCCTTTTCTAACATTCAAATCATTCCTTTGTTATAGTACATATATGACCAGTGAATTACTACTAAGAACGTCTAGTTAAGCTTGCCCTTTTCAATGCAGTAAGAGCAGACCTCCCCAGATACATTCTTTTTTAAAGTTATTGCATGGTGATTATGTTATAGTCAATAAGAATGTGGAAAGTAATATTTTAGGTTCATTCCCTCTTGAGTGGTTCAGTTTCATCTTTCTAGCTATGGTAGGATCCTATAAGGATCATGGTTTCTCCTTACTCTCATGAAGAAATATTTAATATTTGATAATTACAATATTTAATTTGCCCAGCAGACTATTTTAAAATGTAATCCAAAATAATGACATTTTAACAATTCTATGGGCATTTTGAAAACTCAGGAAACACCTACAGTGTCACCAGAGTTCAGTGAGGCCCATCTCACCTTCAACCCTGTCATGATAGATGCTTCTAAAAAGAATCTGTTGAATTCAAGTGTGTTATTTGCAGGATGCTGTCGTGGTATACAAAGAAGGCCTATATTCTTAAGGTACCCACAGTTTAGCAGTAGTTAGAAATATACAAATAATTACCATTTTTGTGGAAGGCCTTCCTTGAATGCCATGCTAAGACTTTTGAACTGGATTCTGTGGGCAATAGAGCACTGCAGAAGGTACATACAAAGTGGAATAAGTGCTTTACGAGAGGATAATACATGGTGCTGTGAGAGTATAGAGGAGAGAGAGTTTAATTCTGGCTGGAGGCAAGTCAGGAAGGTTTGATGGAGGAGATGGCATTTGAGCTGGACTTTCAAGGATGGGTCAGATTTGTACAAAATGGGAATAAGTGCGAAAGTATGGGTTATCCCTGGATTAAGGAACACAATCAAGACCAGCCAGGAGAATGAGGCATGTAGTGTGTTAAGTGAAAGGTAAGTATGGAAAAGTAGTTGGGACAAATTGTGGAGAGCCTTGAATGCTGAGCTGAGACATAGCCTAAGCAGAGGAAAGATGTGATGAGATGGTCAAGTCCTCCTTTAAGCTTCTTCCTGCAAGTTCTCTGAGTCTCTCCCCTTGTTGTCATTCCTAGCTGCCTTTGACCTGATTCTAGCCTGCATTACCCCTTACCTGGATTGTTTAGCCTCCTAACTAGTCCCTCCTCTTCCTCTACTTCCTCAATGTTCTGCATCAGCTTAATATTCGGGAAGCACAGCTCTTCCTCAGAAACCTTCAGTGGTTCTGTTTTGCCAGCAAGATAATATCTAAATTCCCTGGCAGAGTAGTTCTAGCCCCTACCCCATCATGCAATGTAATGTGCATATCCAGCTTTGTTTCCTTCATTCTTTCTTCATGAATCTTATTCTTCCCTCACCCTGTTCCCTGTGCACATCCAGTGAGGTAAGATAGCATGATAGTTACCAGCCCATAGACTCTGCAGCCACATTCTGGGTTCAAGTCCCAACTTACCAATTACTAACCGTATAGACTCTGGGAAAGTTACTTAACATCTCTGCACTTCGATTACTCCATCTCAAAATGGGGTGTTATAATTATTCAATGATGCTTCATGTGTAAAGTTTTAAGAACAGTGCTTGGCATTTAGTAAGTTCTCAAATGCTAGTGTACTTGTGATTATGCTTATTTTTTACCTTCATGCTGTTGCCTTCTCGAATACCCTTTTCTGATTGTTTCCTAATTGAATCTTACACAATTCAAATGGCCCATCCCTATGCTTTTGCTCTTCCCCTAGTTGGAAGTAATTTCTCTCCTTTTAATTTTCATAACTTATCACTTTTTTGTAATATGTTTATGTACAGTAGTCCCCCCTTATCCATGGGGAATATGTTCCAAGACCCCCAGCGGATGCCTGAAACCGCAGACAGTACCAAATCCTGTATGTACTATGTTTTTTTCTATATGTACATACCTATGATAAAATTTAATTTGTAAATTAGGCACAGTAAGATATTAACAACAATAATAAAATAGAACAATTATAACATTATATGTAATAAAAGTTATGTGAATGTGGTCTCTCAAAATACCCTGGAATTTTTCGTTTAATAATTTTGGACTACAGTTGACTGTGGATAACTGAAACCACGGAAAATAACATCACAGATAAGGGGGTACTATTGTATTTATCTTATCTTTCATGGCAGATTACAGACATGGTGGGGTCAGGATCCAAGTCTGGTTCATTTTGCTAGCTTCCTGAAACACTTTGATAGATTACCTTGTATAAACGAAGCACTGAACTAATTGAAGTGACTGGGTGATCAGATGAGTGCTTCAGAAAGACAGTATCAGTCAAGGAAAGATTGAACTGTAGAGGCTGAAAGGCAAGGAGCCCAGTTAAGAGGTTATTGTGATCCAGGCTTGAGGTGGTGAGGGCTCAGCAAGTGACCGGAATAAAATGGAGGGAATGAATTGTTGAGTGTCTGAGAACCATATGACTACTCCTCTGGTCCAAAAATTAGAAACCAAATGCAGAGGCAAAGGGTTTCTCTCACATTTTGAGTTCTCTTTACATAGTTGCAGTTTATTCTACTAGCCCAGTTCTAATCCATAGTTTTATCTTTTGAGTAATAGTATTAGATTGCATTTCTTCTGTAGATATAGTCACTGTACCTGTAGGCAATTGTGATGTGTTGATTAACTGGAAGATCTTTTTCAAACAGAAAAATGAAAACCGATTCTATCTGAAGGAAGTGAATGTCAGCATGTCTTTGAATAATGGCTCTGGTAAGCAAAATATTGGCCTTGGGGAAAAGAGTGTGGGTTACACTGAAGGAATAGAAACCATAATTTTCTTGTTACAAAACAGTGCCTTATTTAGTGGGACAGATTTCATGTGAAAATTGTACCTTGACCACAACTTAAAATCAGTAGCTTAGAACAGTAGTATTCTATCTTTTGCAGTACCCCATATTTTCCAAAGTATGGTGTGACCAATCTTCAGACTATAGAAACATCTATCGACATATAGGGAATGGTGTCAGATGATTACTATAATTAGTGGGTAATCACATTGTAAGGTATGAAAATGTCGAATCACTGTCATATACCTGAAACTAATGTAACTAATATAATATCGTATACCAACTACACTTTGAAAAAAAATTTAAAAACTAAAGATAAGGAACCTAGTGATCAGAAGAATTGCTTTTTGTGGATAGACCCTGTACTCCAAGCTCCCATACTTCACTGAAAAATCCTAAGAACTGTCTTACTTTTAATGTTGATAGGATAAGAAGTTACTAATATATTTTTTTCTTTAAAGTTTTCAGCATTGCAAATAACAATCTTAGCTACTGGGATGCCTCCCTGGGAAGTTCTTACATGTGCAACAAAGAGCAGACAGTTTCAGTGTCCGAAGCATTTCAGATAAATACCTTTGATCTAAGGGTTCAGCCTTTCAATGTGATAGAAGGAAAGTATTCTACAGGTAAGAATCAAGCAAGTTTTATTAATAATTTATGTTCTTATGTTTACTTTTCCTTTGAGTCTTGGGAATTTAAGCATTGAAATAGAGAAAATATGAATTAACTCTCGACTCTTGGAGAGTTCTCATAGCCTTAAGCAAGTTGTATCACTCTTTATTTGCCCCATCATTTTACTTGAACTAGATTTTTTTTGTGATCTGAAAATCATTTGTGACAAAGTTCTTAAAGCTAAAAACTGATAGAAGCTTTAAATGAGTTTTACTTAATGTAGGGATGCTTCCCCTAGGTTTTAGTTTGTGAGAAGGATGGCACTTGGGAGCAGCAGCTTTAAGCATCTTACATCTGCCTTCTTGGGGCCATCTTCTCACTGGAAACATTTTCATACTTGAATAAAAGCAGTTTGGTCTTACTTTGTTGAGACAAAAGATTGCGGTAGCAAAACCTCAAATATTGTGAACTGTGGTTTGGTCTGTCAGAATGATCTGGAGAGTTTTAAAAACATGGTAGTGTTTATCAGATTTTCAATGAAACCTTTGTGAAGAGCTCATTACAGTGTTTATATGAATATGAAAGATGCATTTGGCATTGCAAGATTAAAATTTTCATGAAGGAAAAAATTACATAGAATTCCTTAATAGACTTGTCCTTTTAAACCAGTTACCTAAAATTGGGGGTTGCGGATCGCAGCTCTGTTGAACACAGCTATTCCAGTCATTCATAATGTTTTTAACAATTAATTGCATGGTTTACAAGGAAATTTGGAAACTGTATTTAAATGTGAACATGCTATGAGCCATTGAACAACTTTTACAGTAGTACTGAATACCCAGCCCGACTTGGTTAGGCCAAAATAAATTGGGCTCTTCACTACCGTTCTTGTGACTAGGGAGGTTAATGTGTAATTAAAATTTTTTTTTTCAACAATTCATTTTCCCTTTTGTCTGTTTTCTTTTTACTTCAATTATTTTTATCCTTTAATAGTTTTATTTTTGAGCCTTTATCTAGCTCCCCTACATTATTACCCTAATTTAAGATTCAAATTTGTATTTAGAATTTAAAATCATTTGCAGTGTAATTTTAGCTCAAGCCTGTTTATCTAGTCAGCTGTAATAGAGATGAGCTTTGTTCTTTATCTGATTTGAAACTTTGATTTTTATGTTCATAGCATTAAAAATGTCACCCAGGGGAACATACAATATTTAATAATGAATGCAAAATCTTTTTGTGGAACTAGGTTCTTGACCTTTAAATACAACACACTGGTAATACTTGACTATATAGGAAGAGGAAATAGACTTGCAGTAAAGTAAAAGAATGTTGATTGGATTTTCCTGGATCAGACTACTCCCTAGAAATAGAAAAAAATAGCCCTTTTGGCTGCTAGTACTGACCAGATTGATAAATGTAATAAACACACTTAAATTAGTAAGAGATCCCAGTGTCTTGACTTTTGTAGCTAATAAAATCATGTCAGGGATCTGTATGCTTTTTCTGTAAAAGCCCAGACAGTGTTTTATGTTTGGAGGCCATGTGGTATCTGTCACAACTATCCAACTTTGCTACTGTAGCCTGAAAACAGCCACAGACAACAAATGAGTGTGGCTATGTTCCAATAAAACTTTATTTGTGGATTCCGAAATTTGAATTTCTTATAATTCTCATGTCTCACAAAAGAATCTTTTGGAGTTTTTTTCCCAATCATTTAAAAATGTTTAAAAGCCATTTTTAGCTCTTGGGCCAGATTTGGCCCACAGGCTATAGTTTACTGATCTCTGTTCTAAAGGATTACAGAGCCAGCCTGGCGATTCTAATCCTAATGATTAAACCTTCCTCATCTGATCCCAGTCTCCCAAAAGATATTCACTCTACCACATAGAGCCTAATCTGGCTATGTTAAATGGGTTATATTAGCTCTTTTCATTTTTGATAAAGTAATACTCCTATTTTGGAAAGGACTTGGAATAGAAATGAAACACATTTACACATGTATGTGTTTACTCACAGATATGAGTATATTTGTATTCATATATATGAATACCTATATGTACACACTTACATGAATGAAAGGGCAAATAAGTTTTAGGATTTTAATTCTAGAACAATCCATAATTTTCTTTAGCTTTATCATTAAAATGTATCTGTCTTAATTACTTAAAGTTGAACTTGTAAAAGCATTTCTGACTTTTGAATCAACATCTTTTACTTTTGGACATTCTTTTTTGATTATACTCATTATTTGTTACACACTTTTTCTCACCAACAGCTCAGGAGTGTTCGCTGGATGATGACACCATTCTAATACCAATTATAGTTGGTGCTGGTCTTTCAGGCTTGATTATCGTTATAGTGATTGCTTACCTAATTGGCAGAAGAAAAAGTTATGCGGGATATCAGACTCTGTAACACTAATCCATATGTGATCTCTGTTACAAAATATTAAAGCAAGTACAAGTTCCAACATGCAGTACTGTTCAATTTAAGGTATATTTAGTTGTAGTTCTGACCTTAGAATTGGGGATTTCACAGTTAAATACAAACACCCCAAAACTATAAACTACAAATTAATTACATGATTGTGGTTTCCCCAACCAAGGGATGTAAAACTGTTATTTCTGCAGCAAAAGTCATGTGCAAAATCACCTGGATTATAGGTTCTATTTTGTCTTGAGTTAATATTTCTGTGTTTTCACTTTAGATATTCTGACTAGAAATAGTTTAAGAAAAACAATTTTTAAAAAGGTTTTTTTTTTTTTTTCCTGCATGTAGTCGAATTGAGACAACACATTCTACAGTGGATTTGTACTTGTTCCTTTTGTATTTTTTTCTGTGATTTTGTTTGTAGGTTAACTTAGCTGCTTTGACATTGCTGCATATTTGACCTATGAGAGATATGCCAGTATCCTAATGTTGTTCGAATATATTTGTGTTTAATGTGGCTATAATGACAAAAGATACAAAAGCTTTTAACATTTTAGAATAAGTGTTAAACTTATTGTTTAATCATTTTTTTTTTAAGAACTAGATATTTCAGTCTTTTAAATTGCAAGATACAAAACTATTCCAGCTGGGCATTTCAATCCATTTTCTATGTGCTTTAGAGATAGTGGCTAGGCAGGCCAGTTTTGGGCATTAGTTCTTTGTACCCATAAATTGGCTTATGTATGCAGTGCTAAAGTTAATGTAGACTTCTCTCTAGCCTTCCAGTATCCTTGGTGGCAGTAGTACGTTTTATTCCTTTCCTGTCTTTTCTTTTCCTTAAAGAAATGACAGTATGTTTTAGAACCTAGATAAAGAAGTGCACTTACACTTAAAAAGTAACCTGCACCTAACCCATAAGTCTTGGTCTTCTCTTAGTCCATTAAAAAGTTGGTTTTTTGTTTGTTTGTTTGTTTCCAGCTTACATTGATTGCTACAACATTTACTAATTTAGCTTTCCCATTTAAATGGTTTTGTGCTAATCAAAACCTAGATTATTATCATTCATTGTGGTAGAATCATGATTAATTCATGTATTTTGTGTTCAGTTTTGTCCTCAGGGGAGATGCACCAATTGTCCATTTACTGTATACCATCTAATGTTTATATAAGAAAGCAAAAAGTTTCAATTTGATAGTTAACACATGGAGTATTTCTTGCTCTTTCTATGAGATTTTTTAATTGGAATGGCTGAACAAATATTTTTAAATTGTTAATATGCAGCCATTGACGGTTCCTGAGTTTTTGCGTGTGGGAGATTTTGTGCCCCCCCGCCATTCACTAGAAAATGAGATATCTGGGTTCCAAAATATTATTGACCTTGAATTAATTTGGTAGTCTAGCTACACACACAGACAGACACACAGTTGCACACACAAGCAATTGCATGTTAACGTGTATGTCTATAACTATCTTTTGAGTTACATTGGAATGCTAAAATGTTTTCTCACATTTAAATTTGCTCTCTGTTTAGAGTAGCCTGAAAAATCTTACTGGCTCAGAATCAGATTCCTCACCAGCTGTACATTGAGCTGTATTGTCGGCTTAAGGCACTTTTTAAAGACTAAATATAAATCTGATTTTTTTAAATTATTTTTTATTTAAATAGTGTCTTAGTGTAAGATTGTTAACCTTAGAAGACTAGATAACTCTTATAAGAATGTAGGCCTCAGTTATTTCTCATGAGTCAAAACAAAGCAGCTTTTTCAAAAAATAAAATTTGGAAGCACAAGTGGGTGGCGCTGGCTTAATGCTGTTAATGTTTTTAAAAGTTTCTGTGTTTAGATTATATACCTGATTCATATTAAAATACCTCTAATTAGCACTGTTTTCTAGAAAATCTGACTTCATTGAATATTTTTGTATTTTACATGGGCCAGTTTATATACGGTTATTTATGTTATTATTTCCTATAGCCACATGTTCTTTGTACCTTTTGTAGTTTAATTTGCTCTACTGGGTTTACACCTTGATGGTCTAACGCTCTGTATGGTTCTGGATAATACTCATGTTTTAGCATTCGTATAAAGAGACTGGTCCGTGTAAATACTTCTCATGTCTTTTTTCTCAAATGTTTAAACCACTAGTTGATGTATAGTATTTCTCTTTAGATATTTGCTTGTCCATTTGCTCAACGTATTGCTTCTAAAACAAACAATAAAAATTATTTTATTTCTTAATAAAATTTGCTCACATTTTTTCCCATTGGTTAAAGTCAAGATTTTGTATACCACATAATGGCAATTTCTTTCCAAAGGAAAAATTCTACAAATGCTTAGAAGTAGAACTAAGTTATTTCCAAATGTTCTGTTATACTATTACTATTGGAAGAGTGGTCCCATACATAGGTTTCTACTGATGCTGGGCTGGCTACAGAATAAGAATCACCTGGGAAGCTTGTTGTACAAGTTCAGATTCCAGGTGCCATTCCTAGGAGACATAATTTAGCAGATCTGAGCGAGAGAGAGAGAGAGAGAGAGAGAGAGAGAGTCCCCAGATAAATCTGGTAGCCAGTTGGTGAACCAATGATCAAGAATATTCCTTTCTTAGTAAAAGGGTCATTATGCAGTTCTCTCAACTCCTAAGTTGAGGCTGATATTTAATATCTGTACATAGCAGCTCTACACTTCAGTCATACAATCTGAGCTATTGATCTGAACCAAAATAGGATTACATGCAATCTCTCTCAGATACCCTAAAATCTTGAACCTTAGTATATCACACACAAAAAATTTTTAGCAACCTAGCTAGTAAAGGGTCATTATGCAGTTCTCTCAACTCCTAAGTTGAGGCTGATATTTAATATCTGTACATAGCAGCTCTACACTTCAGTCATACAATCTGAGCTATTGATCTGAACCAAAATAGGATTACATGCAATCTCTCTCAGATACCCTAAAATCTTGAACCTTAGTATATCACACACAAAAAATTTTTAGCAACCTAGCTAGTAACTTTCCTCTGGATTACCCAGTTAAGCCATGTGACTGCCAGTTAATCATCACAGCTCCCACTTCTGCTACTAGTTACCATGTGATTTGTCCAAG